TGGTCCAGTTGTGAGGATTTGTTTTCTTTATGTTGAGGTGTAATCCATACTGAAGGCTGTAGTCTTTGATCTTCATCAGTAAGTGCTTCAAGTCCTCTTCGCTTTCTATAAGCAAGATTGTGTCATCTGCATAATGCAGGTTGTTAATGAGTCTTCCTGCAATCCTGACACAACATTCTTCTTCATATAGTGCAGCTTCTCAGATTATTTGCTCAGCATACAGTTTGAGTAAGCATGGTGAGAGGCTACAACCCTGACGCACACCTCTTTTTTCTTTTTTTATTGTACTTTAGATGAAGGCTTATACAGCAAATTAGTTTCTCATTGAACAACTAATACACATACTGTTTTGTGACATTGTTTGCCAATCCCACAACATGTCAACACTCTCCCCTCTCGACCTTTGGTTCCCCATTACTAGCTTTCCTGTCCCCTGCTGCCTTCTTGTCCCTGCCCCTGAGCTGGTGTACCCATTTAGTCTCATTTTGTTTTATGGGGCTGTCTAATCTTTGGCTGAAGGGTGAACATCAGGAGTGACTTCGTTACTGAGCTAAAAGGGTGTCTGGGGGCCATTCTCTCGGGGTTTCTCCAGTCTCTGTCAGAGCAGTAATTCTGGTCTTTTCTTGTGAGTTAGAATTTTGTTCTACATTTTCCTCCAGCTCTGTCTGAGACCCTCTAATGTGATCTCTGTCAAGGCAGTCAGTGGTGGTAGCCAGGCACCATCTAGTTATACGGGACTCAGTCTGGTGGAGACTGTGGTAGTTGTGGTCCATTAGTCCTTTGGATTAATCTGTCCCTTGTGTCTTTGGTTTTCTTCATTCTCCCTTGCTCCAGGTGGGGTGAGACCAGTGGATTATCCTAGATGGCCGCTCACAAGCTTTTAAGGCCCCAGATGCTACTCAGCAAAGTAGGATGTAGAACATTTTCTTTAAAACTATGTTATGCCAATTGACCAAAGACAAGGAAAATATTAGCCCAAGAAACAGAAAGGGCCACATAAACCAGAGATCCCATTAGCCTGAGACCAGAAGAACTAGATGGTACCTGGCTACCACCAAAGACCGCCCTGACAGGGAACACAACAGAGAGTCCCTGACGGAACAGGAGAAAAGTGGGTGCAGAACTCAAATTCTATCAAAAAGACCAGACTTAATGGTCTGACTGAGACTGGAGGGACCCTGGAAGACATGGCCCCCAGACTCTCCCTTATGCCAGAACTGAAACCATTCCTGAAGCCAACTCTTCAAAGATTAGAGTGGACTATGGGACATAAAATGATACTCACGAAGAGTGTGCTTCTTAGCTCAAATAGATACATGAGACTAAATGGGCAGGTCCTGTCCAGAGGTGACATGAGAAGGCAAAAAGGGACAGGAGCTGGCTGAATGGACACAGGAAATCTGAGGTGGAAAGGAGGAGTGTGCTGTCACATTATAGGGAGAGCAGCTAGGGTGACATAGCAATGTGTGTATAAATTTTTACATGAGAAACTGACTTGAGCTGTAAACTTTCACTTAAAGCACAAGGAAAAAAAAAAACAACAAAAACTATGTTATACCAATTGAACTAGATGTCCCCGAGACCATGATTCCCAGCCCTCAGCCCAGTAATCTGGTCCCTCATGGAGTCTGGATGTGTCTATGAAGCTTCCATGACCATGCCCTTGCCTTGGTCAAATTGTGCTGGCTTCCCCAGTATTGTGTACTGTCTTACCCTTCACCAAAGTTACCACTTATCTATTGTCTAGTTAGTGTTTTTCCCTTCCCACCCCTCCCCTGCCTAGTAACCGTCAAAGATTGTTACTTTCTGAGTGTAAACCTTTTCATGAGTTTTTATGATAGTGGTCTCATACAGTATTTGTCCTTTTGTGATTGACTTGTTACACTGAGCATAATGCCCTCCAGATTATCCGTGTTGTAAGATGTTTCCCAGATTCCTTATTGTTCTTCATTATTGTGTAGCATTCCATTGTGTGTATGTACCATAGTTTATCCATTCTTATGTTGATGGGCACTTAGGTTGTTTCTATCTTTTTGTTATTGTGAACAATGCTGCAATGAACATGGGTGTGCGTATGGCTATTCTTGTGATGGCTCTTATTTCTCTAAGATGTATTTTTAGGAGTGATGCACCTTTCTTGATTTTAAACCATGCAGTATCCCCTTGTTCTGTTAGAATGACTGCCTCTTGGTCTATGTACAGGTTCCTTAGAGCACAATTAGTGTTCTGAAATTCCCATTTTTCACAATGTTCTCCATAATTTGTTATGATCCACACAGTTGAATGCCTTTGCATAGTCAATAAAACACAGATAAACATCTTTCTGGTATTCTCTGCTTTCAGCCAAGATCCATCTGACATTTGCAATGATACCCCTGGTTCCATGTCCTCTTCTGAATCCAGCTTGAATTTCTGGCATTTCGCTGTTGGACATATTGCTGCAACTGCTTTTGAATGATCTTCAGCAAAATTTTACTTGCGTATGATGTCAATGATACTGTTCGATAATTTCTGCATTCTGTTGGATGACCTTTCTCTGGAATGTGCACAAATATGGATCTCTTCCAGTTGGTTAGGCAGGAAGCTGTCTTCCAAATTTCTTGGCATAGATGTGTGAGCACTTCCAGTGCTGCATCCATTTGTTGAAACATCTCAATTGGTATTCTCTCAATTCCTGGAGCCTTGTTTTTTGCCAATGCCTTCAGTGCAGCTTGGACTTCTTCCTCCAATACTATCGGTTCTTGATCATGTGCTACCTCCTAAAATGGTTGAACATAGACCACTTCTTTTTGGTACAGTGACTCTGTGTATTCCTTCCATCTGCTTTTGATGCTTCTTGGGTCATTCGATATTTTGCCCATGTTGTTGCTGTTGTTAGGCATGGTCGAGTCGGTTCGGACTCATAGGGACCCTGTGTACAGCAGAATGAAACACTGCCCAGTCCTGTGCCATCCTTACAATGACTGTTATGCTTGAACCCATTGTTGCAGCCACTGTGTCAATCCACCTTGTTGCGGGTCTTCCTCTTTTTTGCTGACCCTCTACTTTACCAAACATGATGTCCTTCTCCAGGGACTGGTCCCTCCTGATAACATATCCAAAGTATGTAAGGTGTAGTCTCACCATCCTTGCTTCTAAGGAGCATTCTGTCTGTACTTCTTCCAAGACAAATGTATTCGTTCTTTTGGCAGTCCATGGTATATTTGATATTCTTCACCAACACTGTAATTCAAAGGCATCAATTCTTCAGTCTTCCTTATTCCAGCTTGAGTCTTGAATTTTTTCTTCAGTTCTTTCAGCTTGAGAATTGCCAAAAGGGTTCTTCCCTTTTGGTTTTCTAACTCCAGATCTTTGCACATTTCATTATAATATTTTACTTTGTCTTCTCGAGCTGCCCTTTGAAATCTTCTGTTCCGCTCTTTTACTTCATCATTTCTTCCATTTGCTTTAGCTACTCTACATTCAAGAGCAAGTTTCAGAATCTCTTCTGACATCCATTTTGGCCTTTTCTTTCTTTCCTGTCTTTTAAATGACCTTTTGCTTTCTTCATGTATGATGTCCTTGATGTCATTCCACAACTTGTCCGGTCTTAGGCTGTTAGTGTTCAATACCTCAAATCTATTCTTGAGATGGTCTCCAAGTTCAGGTTGGATGTACTCAAGGTCATATTTTGGCTCTCGTGTACTTGTTTTAATTTTCTTCAGCTTTAACTTGAACTTGCATATGAGCAATTGATGATCTGTTCTGCAATTGGTGCCTGGCTTTGTTCTGACTAATGATATTGAGCTTTCCCATTGTCTCTTTCCACAAATGTAGTCGATCTGATGCCTGTGTTTTCCATTCTAACCCCTGACAACCACTCATTTGTTCTCCATTTCTATAGTTTTATCATTTCAAGAATATTATGTAAATGGAATCATGTATACTTTTGAATTAGTTTTTTTCGCTCAGCATAGTTCTCTGGAGATTCATCCAGGTTTTTTGTTATATTGATTGTTTGTTCCTTTTTATTGTGTGTTTTATGGAATAGAATTCGCATGGTGTGAATGTACCACATTTTGGTTATTTCACTTATGGGGCTATTGTAAATAAAAGCTTCTTTACATATTCCTGTGTAGGTTTTTGTGTGGACAAAAGTTTTCATTTCTCTGGGATAAATGCCCAAGAATGTGATTGCTGGCATCTGTCTTCTTTTTATTTTTAAGTTTTATTGTGGTAAACTCTATGTAACAAAACATTTTCCATTTTAACCTTTCTTAAGTATACAAGTCAGTGCCATTGATTATGTCCACCATGTTGTACAACTGTTGCCACTATCCATTTCCAAACGTTTTTCATCCCCCTACGCAGAAACTCAGTGCCCCCTAGACAATAACTCCCCATTTCCTCTCAACCCCTGGTAACCCCTAGTAAACTTTGGTCTCTATGCATTTACCCATTCTAGATAATTTCATACAAATGCAATCATACAATACTTACCCTTTTGTGTCTGACTTCTTTCACTCAGCATAATGCTTTAAGCTTATCCATGTCGTAGCACGTATCAGGACTCCATTGCTCTCTGTGGCTGAATAAAACTCCATTGTATGAACACACCATATTCTGTTTATCCACTCATCTGTTGATGGACGTTGGGTTGTTTCCACCTTTTGGTTGTTGTCAATAGTGGTGCAGTGAACACTGGTGTACAGGTACCTGCTTGAGTCCCTGCATCTACCCGCTTTTAAAGTGCGTATTTTATGTGTGTGTTTTTCCAGGATATAGGTGATTCGATTTTTGCATATTTGTATGGAGAGATGGTATCTCAGGCTAATATATACTACTCAAAAACCTTTGGATACAGCTTTCAGAAGTTTGCCTTTTACCGTCAGGTATGTGAAAATAAACACATCTATACTGTCTGCTGGTAGTAGTTAGCTGTTGATGGGTCAACTGGGACTTTTCCTTCTTTGAGACTCCATGTGGCTGGGAGGTTAGGAAAATTCCAGGCCAAAGGAGCTGGCTGGGGATTCTAGGAAGGTAGACAAGGAGGCAAGAGGCTTCAGGTCAGGTAAAATCAGAGCAGAGTTTATGGAGTGCTCGTGAGAAGCTGGGCACCATGGTCAAGGCTAGGAGCCCTGGTGGTGCAGTGGTTAAGCACTCCACTGCTAACCAAAAGGTCAGCAGTTTGAACCCACCAGCCACTCCATGGGAAAAAGATGTGGCAGTCTGCTTCTATAAAGATTGCAGCCTTGAAAACCCTATGGGGCAGTTCTCCTATGTCCTATAGGGTCACTATGAGTTGGAGTTGACTTGATGGCAACAGGTTTTTTGATATCATATTGGATTAGGGCCCACCCTCCTCTGGTATAACCTCAGGTTAACTGATAACTTCTTCAAAGACCCTATTTCCAAATAAGGTCATGTTTACAGGTACCAGGGTTAGGACTTCAACATATGTTTTTGGGGCACACGATTCGATCCATGGCTTTCATCACCCCCATATTACAGATGAGGGGACTGTAAAGGGTTGAATAAGTATCCTCTCAAACTTCATGTCTGCCCAGAACCTCAGAATTTGACCTCATCTGAAAATAGAATACTTGCAAATGTAATTAGTTAACATGGGGTCATACTGGGTTAAGGTGCTCCCTAAATCCAATGTCTGGTGTCCTTTTAAGATGATGAGGGGACACAGGGACATACACAGAGGAAAGACAGTCATGTGGCGATGGAGGCAGGGACTGGAGTGATGCGTGTACAAGCCAAGAAATGCCAAGGATTGCTGGCAGCCACCAGAAGAGGCAAGGAAGCCTCCTCCACTGGAGCCTTCAGAGGGAGATGGCCCTGCCAACACCTTGATTGTTTTAAGCCACCCAGTTTGTAGTACTTGGTTACAGTACCCACCAGACACTAATACAGGGAAGAAAGCTCAGAGAGGTGCAGGGCCTCTAACCAGGCCACACACAGCTTGGCAGAGCTGGACTTTGAACAGACAAAGAGAGAACAAGATCCTCGGGTAGCTAAGGGGATGAGGAAGTTTCCTTCTGACTCAGAGAATGGCTTCCCCCAACCCCTTTGCACATGTCAGAAGGAAGGCAGAAAGAATCTACCCTGCTCTCAAGTCCTGGTCAAGTCCCAAGGAGTGAGGGACCTAGGCAAGCAGCTAGTCGTCTAGTTCACACCACTTCCTCCAAGGCCCCCCAAAACAAGGCTGTCCTCCTTCAAGTTTCTGCCCTAGGTACTGTATTTCCCTAAAGGGGGAATTGATTATTAAAAACAGGCCTCCCTTCAATCTACCTGAAATTAAATTTAGAAATAAAAATATGTCTATAATTTTTTTTTAAATGTCTCTGATTTATTCATACACAATATTTTCTGTTTGCTCCATAGGAAGAATTAGTCGGTTCTTTGGGTGGGATCTTCTTCTTCCACTCTTTGTCACAGGTCGGGCTGCTTGTCCTTGACGGAACAACAGTAAGTTATGTTGAACTGGAAAGCACTACTCAAATGACTTTTGCCTAAACCCAGGTTTTTGTTAAAACTCACATACTTAACTTTCCATATCTGAAATCCATCTAGCTTTTTATTTGCCTATCTATCTGTTATGGATTGAATTGTGTCCCCCAAAAATTTGTGTTGTAAATCTTAACCTCTATGTCTGTGGTTATAATCCCCTTTCGGAACAGATTGTCTTTGTTATGTTAATGAGGCAGGATTAGTTTAGGATGTGTTTTGAGCCAATCTCTTTTGAGATTTAAAAGAGATTAAGCAAGCAAGCAAGTGAGCAGAGATGGGGGCAGAGAAATACCAAGTCATATGAAGATCATCCAGGAGCAGAAGCTGAAAAGAGACAAAGACCGTCCTCCAGAGCCGACAGACAGAAAGCCTTCCCCTAGAGCCAGTGTCCTGATTCAGACTTCTAGCCTCCTCATTCTGTTGTACATAGGGTCGCTTTGAGTCGGAAGCAACTCGACAGCACCTAACAACAGCAAGCCTCCTAAACTGTGAGAAAGTAAATTTCTGTTTGTTAAAGCCACCCATTTGGTATTTTTGTAATAGCAGCACTAGATGACTAAGACACCATCCACCTGTCCATCTGTATATCCATCAATCCATCCTCCTATCATAAACCCACCCATCCTCCCACCCAGCCACCCATCTAACCACCCATACTATATATCCACCCCATACTTATCTATCCATTCATCTATCCACCTACATATCCACCCACCCATACACCACTATTCATCCATCCACTCATCTGTCTCCTACCTACTCACCCATCCACCCACCCAACCACTTGCTCATGTATCCATCCATCCACCCACTTATTCATCCATCCACCTACCTATCCATACATCCATCCACCAACCTACCTACCCACCCACCTATCCTTCCATCCATCCACAAACCACCTACCCCCACCCATCGATCATCCCATCCATCCATCCCTCCATCCATTTTTCCCTCACCTTTCACCTCCCTCCGTTCATTTGTCCATTCAGCCATGTATCCAGCAGTATTTACGTAGTGTCTGCTAAGTGCTAAGCACTGTACCGAGCACTAGGGATAAACTACAAAGTATGGTGCATGTATTGCTGATGTGCATGAGATCATCTGAAATATCTTAGGTCAAACATTTGTTAACAATTACGTTAATGTGTATTCAAAAAAGTTGCCCATGAAACCTGTGATTTCACAGATATTCACATCTAGGATAAGGCTAAGTTTAAAAGATGAGTCAACATGAACTGAATTTGAAGAAAAATATTAAGTCTGCAATAGTATAGACAAAGGAGTTCCTGGGTGGCGCAAACGGTTAAGCACTCGACTACTACCCAAAAGGTTGGTGGTTCCAACCCACCCGCAGTTGCCTTAGAAGAAAGCCTGGCAATCTGTTTCTGAAAGGGCACATCCTTGGAAACCTATGGAGCAGTTCTACTCTGCACACATCGGGTAACCATGAGTTAGAGTTGACTCCATGACAACTGTTTTGTTGATTTGTTTTTTTCTCATGGCATATCTTCTGGGGAAGGGGTATCTTGGTGTCCCGGTATTTTGGTATCTTACCTCCTTATATAGTGCGGTCAGAAGGACTCAGGGATATTCCTGAGGTCTCCCATAATACACAGATAAGAGAGCACTTTCAAAACCACACAGACAAGTTCAGGTTTGATACAGCAGTCAACACTGAGAGAGATACAGCTCACAACACTCAAGGTGTGAGTGGCTTCAAAAAACAGTTGTTAGGAACAGAAGACTCTGGGGTGTGTGTGCAGGTGGTTTGGTGGAAAGAGAGAGACCAACCTGGAAAAATGAGCTCCTGTGATAATGCAGGCACAAGGGAGGCAACATGGGCTGGGGAGGGGATCTTTCTCGGGAGTGCGGGCGTCCTGGGCACTGCAGGGTGTTGAGCAGCATCCCTGGTCTCTACCCACTCAATGCCAGTAGCACTCCTGCCCCAGTTGTGACACCCACAAATATCTCCAGACAGTGTCAAGTGTCGCCTGAGGGCAGAATTGTCTGGGGGAGAGACCCACTGGACTAGATATGTTTAAATCAAGTGTGAATAATAAAATGCATTCATTCCCAGTGTCGTGTTGCCCTGTAATGACCTCTCAAGGTTCAGTAGTCTTTTCTTGTAGGCCAAGTTCGTGTACTCAGACCACCCCCTCAGCAGAAGCTTTGGGCTGCCCTTTGACTACGTAGGAACCCTGGATGTCCTCATCACTCCTGGTCAGAAAGGCATTTTGATCCTCTGGTCTGATAACAACCTGCTGATCTCCCCGAATGCAGGTGAGTCACTTCCCTGGGGAAGTCTGGAAGGGCAAGGCCTGGGTGGAGTTGCTGCTCAGCACAACATGGTAAATGTAACACCAAACCAAAAAACCAAACTCGTTGCCGTTGAGTCAATTATGACTCATAGCGACCCTACAAGACAGAGTTATACCCCTATAGGGTTTCCAAGGCTGTAAATCTTTACAGAAATAGGCTACTTTCTCCTGCAGAGCCCCTGGTGGGTTCGAACCACTGACCTTTCAGTTAGCAGCCGAGCACTTAACCACTGCACCACCATTACACACTTACCTATGGTTAACATGACAGACTTTTTGTTATATTTATTTTACCACGATAACATTTTTTTAAACCTTAAACCAAAAATATTCCTTGAAGTCATCTTTAAACCAAACAATACTTAAGCTTCATTAGTAAAGAATGTCTGCCTTGAGCATTGTGCTCTTTCAAAAACTGTCTACATGGGATCAAATTGACAACAGCAGCTCGAAAGATTAGATAGGAAACTTAGGGGACAGTGAGTTCGTTTTACTGGGAGTGGAACACTTTGGCAAATGATGGTGAGAATGGCTGCACAATGCAAAGAATGTAGTCAATGTCACTGAATCGTACATGGAGAAACTGTTGAATTGGTGTATGTTCTGCTGTGTATATTCACAAATCAACAGCAACAAAAAAATAAATAACAAAATTAAAAAGGAAATTATGAACATGTTATTGGACACTGGAGGAAAGACAATCCTTGTTGTAAAGTGGCAAAGGACTTGACTCCATTACATTGGAACATTTACTGGAAAGTAGAACTCGTTACGTGATGAACTTGGATATTTAACTGAGGAGATTTCCAAGCAAAATGTGAAAGGCATGGCCTGGTTTCTCCTTGCTGCTTAGAGTAAAATGTGAGAGAAAAGAGGTAAGTTCAGAAATGAACTGTTAAGCAAAAAGGAAGCAGAACTTGAAGATTTGGAAAGTTCTCAGCCTCTCCATGTTGTGAAAGTTGAGAAAGCATGATCTGGGGAGGACACCAAGACTGGCTGGACAACTGCTAGCTAAAGAGACAAGGCCTATGATTGATGCATCCAATCAGCTATCTCAGCAGAAAGGTTGCCAGCTTGGACAGAAGGGTTCAGAGAACATGGGTTATCCTTCCACAAAAGAGAGGGATGACCCCAAGAGAGATTCAGTGGTCAGAACAGCCACCCAGGGCAAGGAGCACAGGGAATCAAATCAAAGGAATGAAATCAAAGCTTTCTTTCTGTAAAGGGCCCCCAAGATGGTTGGGCCAGCACAGAGCCCGCTTCTTCCATTGCCGGAAGAGCCATGTCTACAGACTGTGCTTCCCCTTGGACTGATGGGGGCTGGAGCTGGCCCTGGAATGGACGGGAGTTTCTGGGTACTCTTGTGTCCAGGGCTTCTTGACTAGAGGGCTGCCTTTTGTTTCTCTCTTTCTTTTTTAAGATGTTATTGTACCAAAATAGATGTAACAAAAAGATTTGCCATCCTAACCATTTTAAGTGTACAATTCAGTGACATTAATTGCGTTCATCAAGTTGTACAACTGTTGCCACTATCCGTTTCCAAATTTTTCCATCACCCCGAACAGCTCAGTGGCCCCTAAGCAATCACTCCCTCCTTTTCCCTCCCTCCCACCCCTAGAAACCACTAATAAACTTGGATCTCTATATATTTGCCTATTCTAGATACTTTGTATAAGTGGGACCAAATAACATTTGTCCTTTTGTGACTGACTTGCTTCACTCATCATAATGCTTTCAAGGTTCATCCATGTCATACTATGTATCAGAGCTTGCTTTCTCTCTATGGCTGAATAATATGCCGTTGTATGGGTGGACCACATTCTGATTATTCATCTGTTGACGGACATTTGAGTTGTTTCCACCTTTTGGCTATTGTGAACAGTGCTGTCGTGAACATTTTTATACAAGTACCTGTTAGTGTCTCTGCTTTCAGTTCTGTTGAGTATATACCTAGAAGTGAAATTGCTAGGTCATATGGCAATTCTGTGTTTAGCTTTTTGAACATCATTGCCTTTTAAGGTCTCACCAGAAGCACATTACCCATATTAAAGGGTGCCCTGTGGTGTTCAAGTCTCCCAACAATCAGAAATCATCTCTCTTGTAAACTCAATGGCCATTCCTCAGAGCTCTCCTATCAAGGAAATTTATAGGGTCGAATTTTCTTAAACCTAAATATAAACATTCTTAGAGGACCTCGGAAGACAAACCTGGAGATCTGCTTCCAAAATGTCACAGCCTCGAAAATCCTATGGGGCAGTTCTACTGTGCACACGTGGGGTCGCCATGAGTCGGAGTCAATTCCACAGCAACTAACCACAGTATCTGACAAAATTGCATCTTAGTGCTATGTTTTCCTGGACTGTGTTATTTGAAGAGGAAACTTATCAAAAATTGTAGGAAAAAAGGAGCCACTGAGGGAGTGGGTGAGACTCATGGCTTAGGGGGCACTGAGCTTGTGTTAGGGCAACAGGAAATTTGGAAACAGCTAGTGTGCTTGTTGCATAGTGTGATGAGTGTAATCAATGCCACTGAATTGCACACTTAAAAGTGGTTAGGGAGCAGGGTGCTGATCCGGTGTTTAAACACTGGGGCTCCCTCTTCCTCATTTGTGCCTGCGTCCTCATGCTTCAAGGAGTCCTGGTGGCTCAGTGATTAAATCCTTGGCTGCTAACTGAAAGATCGGTGGTTCGAACCCACCCTGGGGCTCTGCGGGAGAAAGATGTGGCAATCTTCTCCAGTAAAGATTGTCATCGTCATTAGGTGCCATCGAGTCGGTTCCAACTCATAGCGACGCCATGTACAACAGAACAAAACAGTGCCCAGTCCTGTGCCATCCTCACAATTGTTGCTATGCTTGAACCCATTGTTGCAGCCACTGTGTCAATCCATTTTGTTGAGGGTCTTCCTCTTTTTTGAAGACCCTATGAGACAGTTCTACTCTGTCCTATAGGGTCACTATGAGTCAGAATAGACTCACAGGGCAGTGGGTTTGGTTTTGTTTGTTTCCCTCACGCTTCTGCCCTGTTATCTTACAGGTCAGCTCATCAACACTGTCATGGTGAACTTCAGACCCTACAAGTTTTTTTCTTCCATCCTTGAAGCCAACCTCACCCTCCACAGCATCGCCACCAGTGCGTGTCTGGCTTGTGGATAGCTTTCTAGAAAAAGCTTCACACCTGGCTTCTTGGCCGTTGACCTGCTAGGTCCAACCCGGCCAAGAGATCAACAAACAGAACAAAACAAAAGGCAACGCAGTCACTACCCACTCGGGAACGACGATCCAGGGCATAAACTGTCTCGCTCTCTAACGATGAGGTGGAACACCCATGGGTCCTCAGGATTTCTCTGCTAGTAAATTGTTTTCCCATTGCTTTTTTTCCCCCTACAGTTTTCCAAGAACAAAAATGTAATTCTCCAATAGAATATTTTTCCTAACAATTTACTAGCTTGGAAATGTTGAGGTAAATAGTGCAACAGATTGTGGGGTCTTTTGATTTTTTTTTAAAAAAACAGTACTTTCCTGTTGGCTAATTATGATGTCACAGCCTACTCTCTATGCCCATTTGTCTGCTTAAAATTAATTGATAATAATTTTCCCATTGTTGTGGAGTCGATTCCGACTCATGGTGACCCTATAGGACAGAGTAGAACTGCCCCATAGGCTTTCCAAGGCTGTACTCTTTATGGAAGCAGACTGCCATATCTTTCTCCCAAGGAGAGGCTGGTGGGTTCGAAGCACTGACCTTTTGGTTAGCAGCCTAGTGCTTTAACTACTGCATCACCAGGGCTCCTGATAAAAATCATGTACATTAAATACATAAAAATTAATTTATAATCATACCAGGGGTGCATGGTCCTTTAAACTCTTCTTTTTAAGTATTATGAGTTTGAAGTCCCTCTGAGCAGCTCCCCAAACCCAGGCCCTTCCCAGCTACTTACCCTGTGATGACTCTGGGCACCTCCTACCAGCTAGCTGAAAGACTTACACACGTGTATTAATATTGTTGTTAAGGGCCGTGGAGTCGGTTCTGACTCATAGTGACCCCATGCCCAACAGAACGAAACACTGCCCGGTCCTGCGCCATGCCCTTGTTATGCTTGAGCCCGTGGTTGCAGTCACTGTGTCAATCCATCTCGTTGAGGGTCTTCCTCTTTTTCACTGACCCTGAAAATGTATAGAGTCATCTGGGTGGGTTACTTTGTTTCTTTTTCTTTCCTTCCCTTTCCCTCACCCTCTTCTGCCCACCCCTCTCTTTCCCTCCCCTTTTCTTCTTTCTCCCCCTCTCTCCCTCCTTCCCCCACCCTCCTTCCCTCCTTCCCTCACCTGCCCTCCTTCATTCCTTCCTTCCTCCTTCCCCTCTCTGTCCTCCCTCCTTCTCTCCTTCCTTTCTCCTTTCCTCCTTCCTCCCTCCCCCCTCCTCTTTCCCTCTCCCTCCCTCCCTCCTTCTTCCCTTCCTTCCCTCCCTTCTCCCTCTCTCCCTTTCTCCTTCCCTCCCTTCCTTCTCCTTTCCCCTCCCTTCTTTCTCCTTCTCTCCCTCCCTCCCTTCCATCTTTCCTTCTTGAGAAACGGTATCATATCACTGTGTGAGTCTTCCTACTGCGTGCTTTTCCACTGCATGTCGTATTTCTGAGATGGAGCCTTTGAACCAGCAATGTGGGAGGCGCCTGCTGGCCACAAGCAGTCACCTGTCCTCCCTGGAGGTTCTGCCTACATTGTCTGAGGAGAAGCACAGCCCTATGTCAGAGCTCAGCAAACCACAGCCCATGGGCCAAATCCGACATATTATCTGTTTTTCTAAAATAAAGTTTTATTGGGACACCGTCACACCCGTTGTTTTATGTGTTATCCGTGGCTGCTTTTGCAGAGTTGAATAGTGGCAACAGAAAGCCCCACAAAGCCGAAAATATTTGCCGTCTGGCCCTTTATGGAAAAAGTTTGCTGACCCCTGGTCAACATGATGGAAGTGGGATAATTTTCATTTTAACTCTTTATGTTTTTCTGTATCATGTGACTTTTCTACATGAACTCTTGTTATCATTACAGTCAGAAAATAACAGGAAAGCCATTTTGATTCAGGAAACAAAATTGTGTGTGAGAAACAGAGCAGGTGGAGGCAGCAAATAGTGATATGTCTGAAGACAAATAGGTGTAAAATACAAAATGCAGAATGACTTGTATCCGTAGAAACAACCGTCATTACTTTTGTTGGTTTTGTTCTTTTTCCCAGATGAAAACGAGTTGGCAATTTTAGCTCGGAATGACAGCGTGTATTACGGCAGTCTGTCAACCCTGTCAAGTTCTGTAATCAGAGTAGGTAACAATCAAAGTAGGGTGACAACCCGGTTGGCAGTGGTCCTGTTCTGAAACATCCCATCCTTCTTCTGAAGTCTTGAGATCGCTCTCGTTATTAAAATAATGACAAGAGCAGATAAAACTTCCTGAGCACTTCAAATGTGTCAGGTGGTAGTCTGAGTTCCTTCTGTGTGCTACCTCACTAAAGGACCACCAGCGTCTTAGGACCACCACCCATCTGATAGTTTGGTGGTTTGTGTGTTGCTGTGATGCTAGAAGCTACGCCACCAGCATTTCCAATACCAGCAGGGTCACCCATGGTGGACAGGTTTCAGTGGAGCTTCCAGACTCAAACAGACTAGGAGGAAAGGTCTGGCAATCGACTTCTGAAAATCAGCCAACGAAAACCCAATGGATCACAACAGAATGTTGTCCAACTCACTTGCTGTTGTGGACACGTCATCAAGAGGAATCAATGGCTGGAGGAGGGCATTTTGTTTGGTGAAGTAGAGGGCCAGTGAGGGTGAGGGAGACCCTCAGTGAGATGGATTGACACAATAGCCAGCGTGATGGACTTGAACATGCCAGTGTTCGTGAGGATGATGCAGGACCAAGTAACGTTTCATTCTGTTGTCCATAAGATCGCCATGAGTCGGAGTCAACTTGACAGCAGTTAGTCTACCTCTGTCTGTCTATCTGTATTACTAATGTGTAGTCAATGCCACGAAACTCCTTAGTGGCTGAATGAGAACAGTCTCCCAGGTCTTCTGACCCCTACTTCACTGTTTTCCCCCACTAAATCTACAGCCACTATACTTCCCAAAATGTACCTGGTAGTGGAATGTCGTTGTTATTGGCTGCTGTGAAGTCAGCCTTGACTCACGGCGACCCCATGCACAACAGAACAAAACGCTGCCCAGTCCTGTGCCATCCTCATGATCGGTTGGGGATCAGACTGTTGTAATCCATAGGGTTTTCACAGGCTGGTTTTCAGAAGTTGATCTCCAGGCCTTTCTTCCTAGTCCATCTTAGTCTGGAAGCTCTGCTGAAGCTGGTTCAGCATCACAGCAACATGCAAGCCTCCATCGATGGACAGGTGGTGGCTGCACGTGAGGTATACTGACCAAGGAAGGATAGGCAAATTGGGTGCGGCACACGTGAGAACTGTCTCTTTGAAGCCCTAACCCTGACATTCTAATGTGTGTTTTCTGGGGAGAGGTTCCATAGTTTTCATTAGACTCTCAAAAGAGATCCAGGATCCGCAAACAAATTGTTAGATGCCGTTGAGTCGATTCTGACTCAGCGACCCCGTGTGACACAGCAGAACTTCCCCTCGGGTTTCCTAGGCTGTAATCTTTATGGGAGCAGATTGCCAAGTCTTTCTCCCTTGGAGCCACCGGGTGGGTTCAAACTTCCAACCTTTCTGTTAGCAGCCAAGCGCTTAACTGTTGCGCCACCAGGGCTCCTTGCAAACAATGAAGCTGTAGAGTAGTTAACTCACAAATTGCACATATGCCTCTTTTTAAAAATACCTTCTTTAAATCTGAATAATGAGATAAAATTTGAATGTTCAGCAAGAATTAGAAATATTTGATCTCTGAAATCATTTTTCTCTTAGCTTTCAAACCAAAGAGTCTGGTCCCAGGAGGCAGCCCTGATGTTCACACACCTGGGAGAACTTGAAATACTAACCCCACTGCCCGACGTAAATTTTCCAGCTTTTGACTTCCTGCGGTGCCCCATAAATATTCAGGAGATTCTCATGAATCCTGATCTGGAGATTGAAGCTTGCAAAGTACGTGACTATAACCATTTAGACCATTTTTCAATGTACTCTTTTTTTCTTCCATAATTCTTTTAAAATTGTTTTATTGAGGTGAAAGTGTATAAGTATATAACAAAACATTTGCCATTTCAACATATTTTAGATGTATAATTCAGTGACACTGATGACGTTCGTTGTCTCGTGCGGCAGTCACCACTCTCCGTCCGTTTCCAAATGATTCTGCCACCGTTAAGGGAAGCTCAGCGCCCCCAAGCAGTGGCTCTCCCTTCCCCCTTCTCCCCTCCCACCCCTGTAACCACTGATTAGCTTTGGTCTCTAAACATTGGCCTAGTCTAGCTATTTCGTATAAGTGAGGTCATACAATATTTGTCCTTTTGTGATTGACTTTTTTTCATTCAGCAGAACGTTTTCAAGGTTCATCCATGTCGTGGCATGCATCAGGACTTCATTTCTTTTTACGACTGAGTCCTATTCCATTGGATGGATGGGCCACATTGTGTTTATCCAGTCATCTGTTGATGGACATTTTGGTTGTTTCCATCTTTTGGCTATTGGGAATAGTATGGCATGAACATTGCTGTACCGTATTTTTACGCAAATAACGCGCAGACGTTCTACTGTTTTTGTGCATGTGACCGCCCCCTCCCCACCCCGCAAGGTATTTTCATAAGCATCCTATGTCAGTTTTTTTACATTAGCTGTAAAAAAATTAGCACAGTACACTTACGAAAATACCTTGTCGGGGGGTTGGCAAATAAACGTAGAACGCTCACTGTTATTTGTGTAAAAAATAATGGTACAAGTTTCTGTTTGCGTTCCTGCTTTCAGTTGTTTTGGGTATATACCTAGCAGTGGGATTGCTGGGTCATATGGTAGTTCTATGTTTAAAAAGTACTCTTCTTTAAGAGTACATTTGTAGCCAGTAACCACACATGAAGGAGCCCTGGTGGCACAGTGGTGAAACTCTAGACTGCTAACTGAAAGATCAGCAGTTTGAACCCACCAGCCGCTCTACAGGAGAAAGACCTGGCAATCTACTCCTGTAAAGATTACAGCCAAGAAAACCTATGGGCCGTTCTATTCTGACACATGGGGTTGCTATGAGTGGAAATTGACTCCACAGCACCCAACAACAACCACACACGAGAGAACCAAGTAAGGTTGTCAGATAAAATACAGGCTGCCCCACTGACAGATGAATGGGTAAACAAAACGGGGTCTGTCCATATGATGGAATGTTACTCACATAAAAAGAAATGACGTCCTAATAGACGCTACAACATGGATGAACCTGGAAAACATTATGCTGAGTGAAAGAAGCCAGACACAAAGGACAAATATTGTCTGCTTCCACTTAAATGAAATATCTAGAAGAGGCAAATATAGAGACAGAAAGTAGTTGGAGGATACGAGGAGCTGGGGAAAAGGAGAATGAGGAGTGACTGCTCAGTGGGGACCAAGTTTTTGTTGTGATGAAGAAATTTTGGAAATGGATAGTGGTAATGGTTGTTCAACATGGTGATATAATGAATATTACTGAATTGTACACTTAAAAATGGTTAAGTGGCAGTTTTATATTGTATTTTACCACAGTAAAACTAAATCCAGTGGGCTTAAACCAAAGAGGCACATGTTGACCCCTATAGCCACAAAGTCCAGAAAGGCAAGGCATCAGGTGAGGCTTGATCTAGTAACTTAAATCATGCCACCGAGGACCCGGCTACTCTCCGCTCTGCATTCCTTGGTGTTCTGTGCTCTATCCAGATGCCTCTGGGAAGCTCCAGGATCTCATAAAATGGTAGCAAGCTGGCTGCCAGTTCTCTAGACCTCATGTCCTCATACCAAAATGTCCCAGGAAGAGAGACAATCTCTTAGGCTAGGCCCTGCAGAAGCCAAGAGAAAGTTCAGCAAATGCCTCTCATATCTCATGGGTTCTGAGGGCATGACATGCCCATTCCTGAACCAATCTCCATGGCCGGGAATGAGCCAATTAGGACCCACTGCTTGAGAGAGGAACAGTCTATTGCCTGCTAGTTGATTCCCACCGGGCCACATGCCCAAGGGTGGACGAGGGTAGTTTCCCAAAGGATAACTTGGGATACTGTCAGGAATGGTGTCTTAGTTCTCTAGTGCTGCTATAACAGAAATACCACCAGTGGGTGGCTTTAGAGAAGAGAAATTAATTTTCTCACAGTTGAGGAGCCTAGAAGTCCAAATTCAGGGCACAGCTCTAGGGGAAATCTCCCTCTCTGTTGGCTCTGGGGGAAGGTCCTTGTCTCTTTTCAGCTTCTGCACCTTGGCTCCTTGGTGATCTTCATGTGGCGTGGCGTCTATCTTCCCCCATCTCTGCTTGCCTAACCTGCTCTTTTGTACAGTAAAACCAGTGAAAGCCTGAGCCTTCCAACACCATCAGCCTGGAGTCTGCCCCAGCCATCTATCTGCCAGAAATGTGTTCAACTGTGCCAGAAAGTTTTCCGAACCGTGGCAAACTCTACAGGCCGAACGACCTGGGGTCTTCAAAGATAAATTGACAGGGAAAGAAAGCGATGAAGGGGGAACCTAAAGTTTAAAAGAAACTTAAAACATAACAGTTTTTGAGAACAGGCAAGACTAAGTAATACCATCTGCAGGTGGGCACCTGGGTGCTAATGCCGTGAAGGAGCACAGTCCTTGGAGAGTCAGGGCAGGGTCCTGCTGGAGGGAGAGAGGGGCTGTGGTGGGGCTGACCTTGAGGGTCTCCTGAGAATGCAGAGTGTAGCAAGAAAGCCTAGTGAGTAAAAAGGGCCGGTAAGACTGGAAGATTCCATCCCTGAGGCCCTCACCTGTTTGTCCTTTCTTTTTGGGAAGCCCTTCTTCAACCTCCTGTCGACTTCCTGTTCTGCATATCTAACCAGGTACAACGTCTGCATGGGTTTTTTGGAAACAAAATGTATACCATTGATATGAACAGTGAGTTGACACTGACCGCTTTTATGGTACCTCGACTGGGCAATTCACCAATTCCACTAGTGAGTGTGTCTTTTTTTTTGGTAAAATATGTATAACATAAAATTTTCCCTTCTAACCTTTTGGAGCGTGTTCTAGCTCTATGTATTTACTGATTCTGTTTAAGTGCATCAGTTCACAATGTTGTACTGTCGTCACCCTTTTCAAAACCCTTTCATCACCCCAAACAGAAATTCTGTACCCCCCCCTTCCCCAAGCCCTCTGTTGTTAGCTACTCTGGAGTCATCTCCGACTCAGACGAGACGCCGTGAATAACAGAAGGAAACGTCGCCCGATCCTGTACCGTCTTCACAGTCGTTGGTCCATTGTTGCAACCGCTCAGTATTTTGAGTGCCTTTCACCCTCGGGGGCTCATCTGCCGGTACTATATCTGACAATGTTCTGTTGTCATCCACAGGGTTTTCATTGACTAACTTTTGGAAGGAGATCACCAGGCCTCTCTTCCTGGTCTGTCTTAGTCTGGAAGCATTGCTGAAACCTGTCCACCATGGTGATCCTGCTGGTATTTGAAATACCAGTGGCGTAGCTTCCAGCATCATAGCAACATGCAAGCTACCACAGCACAACAAACTGACAGACGGGTGGTGGCCCTTAGCCCCTGGCAACCACTGATCTATTTGATGCCTTGTTCTCTAGTCTTCTTCTGACCTGCCCCTCAACTTTCTGTGAATTCCTTTCTTCTTCCTTTTTTATTTCCTCTTCCCCTCGGCAACTAGTAACCACTAGTCTCCTTTCTATCTCTATGAGCTTACCTTTTCTAGATGTCGTTGTTGTTAGGTGCCGTCAAGTTGGTTCCAACTCATAGCGACCCCATGTACAACAGAACGAAACACTGCCCGGTCCTGCGCCATCCTCACAATTATTGTTATGCTTGAGCCCATTGTTGCAGCTACTGTGTCAATCCATCTCGTTGAGGGTCTTCCTCTTTTTGGCTGACCCTCTACTTTACCAAACATGATGTCCTGCTCCAGGGACTGGTCCCTCCTGATAACATGTCCAAATTATGTGAGACAAAGTCGCTCCATCCTTGCTTCTAATGAGCATTCTAGCTGTGCTTCTTCCAAGACAGATTTGTTCTTTCTTCTGACAGTCCATGGGATAGTCAATATTCTTCGCCAACACCATAATTCAAAGGCGTCAGTTCTTCTTCGGTCTTCCTTATTCATTGTCCAGGTTTCACAGGCACACGAGGTGATTGAAAACACCATAGCTTGAGTGAGTAACACCTTATTACACAGAGTGACATCTTTGTTTTTTAACACTTTAAAGAGGTCTTTTGCAGCAGATTTGGCCAACGCAATACGTCCTTTGATTTCTTGACTGCTCCTTTTATGGGCATTGATTGTGGATCCAAGTAAAACGAAACCCTTGACAACTTCGGTATTTTCTCCATTTATCATGATGTAGCTTATTGGTCCAACTGTGGGGATGTTTGTTTTCTTTATGTGGAGGTGTAATCCATACTGAAGGCTGTAGTCTTTGATCTTCATCAGGAAGTGCTTCAAGTCACCTTGACTTTCAGCAAGCAAGGTTGTGTCATCTGTGTATTGCAGGTAGTTAAGGAGTCTTCCTCCAGTCCTGATGCCACGTTCTTCTTCATATAATCCAGCTTCCTGGATTATTTGCTTAGCATACAGATTGAGTAAGTATTGTGAAAGGATATAACCCTGACGCACACCTTTCCTGACTTTAAACTACGCAGTATCCCCTTGTTCTGTTCTAATGACTGCCTCTTGGTCTGTGTACAGGTTCCTCACGAGCACAATTAAGTGTTCTGGAATTCCCATTCTTTGCAATGTTCTCCATAATTTGTTGTGATCCACACAGTCGAGTGCCTTTGCCTAGTCAATAAAACACAGATAAACATCTTTCTGGCATTGTCTGCTTTCAGCCAAGATCCATCTGACATCAGGAATGATATTCCTTGTTCCATGTCTTCTTCTGAATCTGGCTTGAATTTCTAGCAGTTCACTGTCGATATGTTGCTACAACTGCTTTTGAATGATCTCCAACAAAATTTTACTTGTGTGTGATATTAATGGTATCGTTTGATAATTTCTGTATTCTGTTGGATCACCTGTCTTTGGAATGGGCACAAATATGGATCTCTTCCAGTTGATTGGCCAGGTAGCTGTCTTCCAAATTTCTTGGTATAGATGAGTGAGCACTTCCAGTGCTGCATCCTTTTGTTGAAACATCTCCGTTGATATTCCGTCAATTCCTGGAGCCCTGTTTTTCACCCGTGTCTTCAGTGCAGCTTGGACCTCTTGATCATATGCTACCTACTGAAGTGGTTGAATGTCAACCAATTCTTTTTGATACAGTAACTCTGTGTATTCCTTCCATCTTCTTTTGATGCTTCCTGTATCATTTAATATTTTCCTCATAGAATCCTTCACTATTGCAACTCGAGGCTTGAATTTTTTCTTTAGTTCTTTCAGCTTGAGAAATGCTGAGTGTGTTCTTCCCTTTTGTTCTTCTGTCTCTAGGTCTTTGCACATGTCATTATAATACTTTGTCTTCTCGAGCTGCCCTTTTAAATTTTCTGTTCAGCTCTTTTACTTCCTCATTTCTTCTGTTAGTTTTAGCTACTCGACGTTCAAGAGCAACTTTCAGAGTCTCTTCTGACATCCATTTTGGTCTTTTCTTTCTTTCCTGTCTTTTTAATGGCCTCTTGCTTTCTTCATGTGTGATGTCCCTGATGTCATCCCACAACTCGTCTGGTCTTCGGTCATTAGTGTTCAATGTGTCAAATCTGTTCTTGAGATGGTCTCTAAATTCAGATGGAGTATACTCAAGATCGTACTTTAGCTCTCGTGGACTTGTTCTAATTTTCTTCAGCTTCAACTTGCTTGAACTTGCACATGAGCAATTGATGATCTGTTCTGCAGTCGGCCCCTGGCCTTGTTCTGACTGATAATATTGAGCTTTTCCGTCATCTCTTTCCACAGATATACTTGATTTGATTTCTGTGTATTCCGTCTGTTGAGGTCCAAATGTATAGTCGCCACTTATGTTGTTGAAAAAAGGTATTTGCAATGAAGAAGTCATTGGTCTTGAAAAATTCTATCATGCAGTCTCTGGCATTGTTTCTATTACCAAGGCCATATTTTCCAACTACAAATCCTTCTTCTTTGCTTCCAACTTGCACATTCCAATCGCCAGTATTATCAATGCATCTTGATTACATGTTTGATCAATTTCAGACTGCAGAAGTTGGTAAACATCTTCAATTTCTTCATCTCTGGCCTTAGTGGTTGGTGCATAACTTTGAATAATAGTCATATTAACTGGTCTTCCCTGTAGGTTATGAATATTATCCTATCACTGACAGAGTTGTACTTCAGGATAGAGCTTGAAATGTTCTTTTTGATGATGAATGCAACACTATTCCTCTTCAATTTGTCATTCTCGGTATAGTAGGCCATATGATTGTCTGATTCAAAATGGCCAATACCAGTCCATTTCAGCTCACTAATGCCTAGGATATGGATGTTTATGCGTTTCATTTCATTTTTGACAATTTCTAATTTTCCTAGATTCATACTTCGTACATTCCACATTCTGATTAATGGATGTTTGCAGCTGTTTCTTCTCATTTTGAGTCATACCACATCAGCAAATGAAGGTCCCAAAAGCTTGACTCCATCCACATCATTGAGCTTGACTCCACTTTGAGGGGGCAGCTCTTCCCCAGTCATCTTTTGAGTGCCTTCCAACCTGAGGGGCTCATCTTCCGGCACGATATCAGACAATGTTCTGCTGCTGTTCATAAGGTTTTCACTGGCTGATTTTTCAGAAATGGACTGCTGGGTCCTTTTTCCTAGTCTGTCTTAGTCTGGAAGCTCTGCTGAAACCTGTCCACCATGGGTGACCCTGCTAGTATTTAAAACACTGGTGGCAAAGCTTCCAGTATCACTGCAACATGCAAGCCACCATAGTGTGACAAACTGACAGATAGCTGGTGGCTGTTCTAGATAGTTCATATAGAGGGAATCATACAATATTTATCCGTCTGTGCCTCCATTTTTTCACTTAACATTTGAAAGTTTATCCATATTACAGCAGGTATCAGAACATCTTTCCTTTTTATGGCTGAATGATATTCCGCATTACAGATGGACCACATTTTCTTTATCTGTTCATCTGTTGATGGACACTTGGGTTGTTTCCACCTTTCACCTGTTGTGAATAGTGAACGTTGGTGTACAAGTATCTGTTTCAATCCCTGCTTTCTAGTCTTTTGGGTCTATCCCCAGTAGTGGCATTGCTGGGTCATTTGGTAATTTCACGTTTAACTCTTTGAGAAGGCTTCTTTTCTTCTTAGCTCAGCCAGAGTCAGCTTCTGTCACTTCCAGCCAAGAGCTCCAACTCGTACAGCCTTCCCTCATCCATTGAGGGTGTGCTTGAAAAACAGTGGGGCTCCTGGGCCTGAAACCCAGGTTCTTAGTCTAGACTCGTTGTTGTCGTTGGGTGCCGTTTGAGTTGATTCCAACTCATAGTGACGAGTAGAACTGCCCCATAGTGTTTTCTAGGCAGTAGCCTTTATGGGAGCAGATCGCTAGGTCTTTCTCCTGTGGAGCTACTGGGTAGCTTTGAAATGTAACCTTTCTTTTGGTTAGCAGCCAAGTGCTTAACCATTGTGGCCTCACGGCTCCTTCTCCTAGACTCTTGGTTGCAAACAATCAACCTGAGAAGGGGGGAATTTGGGTAAGGATATGGGGGAAGAGTCCCAAAATAGAAGGGACTGGGCACAGGGCCTGCACAGGCGTCAGATGAGGCCCTGCACTGGCTCATACCCTGTGCTTTCTCATTCCTCCTTCCTCTACAGGGCGGGCTCTGGGGCTCTCCGTGCACCAGAGGTAGATGGCGCCCTTGCAGGCCTGGGTCTTGCAGCTCTGCAGCCCTAAGAAGTCTGCAGAGTGTGGTTCAGAGGCCACATTCTGGGGGGCTGGGGACTGGGTCCAGGGTGCATCTGGGGATTTGTCTGGCAGTGGTATTTGCAGAACAAGCTCAGTTCTCAGTCTGAAGGTGTTTGGGGGGTGGGTCACAGCACATGCTTCTCCTGCCCACCCCTCAGGTGACGGTGAGCAACCCGCACTCCCTGGGGCTGCAGGCGACCATCGAGGAGCAAGGCTACACTTTGGACGGGAACAGCAAGTATCAACTGGTGAGCCATGCCACCCCTCCGCACCCAGCCCCGCTAAGGGCATGGGCTTTACCACCCAGCCAGGTCCCCAGCCCTCCCCTCCTTCCTACCAAGCCCAGGTCAAGGCCCTGAGGGATCTGGAGGCAGCACAGTCCCTGCTCCCACCACGCAGTTGGTCTGCTGGGAAGTTGTTGCATGCCACGGACTTGATTCTAGCTCATAGTGACACCATGTGACAGAGGAGAACTGCCCCATAGGGTTTTCTTGGCTGTAATCTTTATAGGAGCAGATCACCAGGTCTTTCTCCCGCGGAGCTGCTGGTGGATTCGAACCACCAACCTTTTGGTTAGCAGCTGAGCACTTACCCTTGTGCCCCCAGGGCTCCTCGTGGGAAGACAGGCCTGAAATCTACCCTCATCCAGACGCACAATGTCATTAAAGCGTTGCACAGGAGAGGGGGGTGGACGAGGGTGGATGAGTCACTGGGAGCCCAGCCCAGCCCAGGGAGAGCGTGAGACCTGAGCTCGCTGGGGAAACTGAGACAGCAGAACTGAGGCAAACCAGGGGGAGAAGGCTGCAGGGACAGGAGGGGTTTGGTCAGAGATGGGCCTGGGGAACTCATGGGGCTGAGTGGGTGTGCAGGCCTCACAGTCACACCAGGGTGTTTGCACTTAGTCCCAATGACCAGGATCACAAGGATGGTGTGCACCGGAGGGGGTACAGCAAGGCAGGATGGGCCACAACTGACTCTGTCCCGGCTCTTGGCACATCACAACACGCAGATAAGAGGATGGAACAACAAAGCCACGCCTGATGATGGGACCCAGAACAAGGACATAAGTCATTTCCTTGAGTTTCCAGAACGTTCTCACTGGCGGTGGAATTAGAAGCAGAGGCGGGTTGGACAGTCCTGGGCTCAGCCCATCCCACGCTCCATCTCTACCCCATCTCCGCACCCCCCCTCCGCCTACGTGAACGCCAACCTGAACCGCTGCTTTCTTTCTCGGCCCCCGCAGAACATTTACCTGAAGCAACAGCACCACTCCGGCAGGGCTGACCCCAACTTCACCTCCAGGTACGTCGTGGCCTTGATGGTGGTGGCCGCTGCAGGTTTGCACTTTGCTGTCTATGAAAACAAACAAATAAAAACCACCAAACCAGTTGCTGTGGAGTCAATTCTTACTCACAGCAACCCCGTGTGTTACAGAGTAGAACTGCCCCTTTGAGTTCTCCTGTCTGTCATCTTTAAGGAAACAGATCAACGGGCCTTTCTTCCATGAGTGGGTCCAAACTATCAGCCTTGAGATTAGTTGTTGTTGTTAAGTGACGTCGAGTTGGTTCCGACTCATTGTGACCCTGTGTCTAACAGAAGGAAACACTGCCCAGTCCTGCACCATCCTCACAATCATTGTTATGTTTGAGCCCATTGTTGCAGCCACTGTGTCAATCCATCTCATTGAGAGTCTTCCTCTTTTTCACTGACCCTCTACTTTACCAGGCACAATGTCCTTCTCCAGGACTGGTCCCTCCTGATAACATGTCCAAAGTACATGAGACGAAGTCTTGTCATCCTTGCTTCTAAGGAGCACTCTGGCCGTACGTCTTCCAAAACAGATTTGTTCGTTCTTCTGGCAGGCCATGGTATATTCAATATTCTTCACTAATGCCATAATTCAAAGGCATCAATTCTTCTTCTGTCTTCCTTATTCATCGTTCAGCTTTCACATGCATATGAGGCGACTAAAAATACCAAGGCTTAAGTCAGACACACCTTAGTCCTCAAAGCAACATCTTTGCTTTTAACACTTTGAAAGCGGTCTTTTGTAGCCGATTTGCAGATTAGGTGAGTACTCAAGTGCAAACGATTTGCACCACCAGGACCTTTGCCATCTGTAGGCTTCCCTCAGCAGGCGTGGGGAGATTGGGACCCTCCCCGCAGGTGGTGCCGGAGTCTCCTAGAGCTGCCATAACAAAGTCCCACAAACTGGACAGCTTAGAAGAATAGAAATGTATTGCCTCACAGTTCCGGAGGCTAGAGGTCCTAGATCAGGATGTCAGCCATGTTGATTCCTTCTGAGGGAGAATCTTCTGGCGACAGCTGGCGATCCTTGGTGTTCCTTGGCTTGCACCTTCGTCTGCTTCTGACATCCCCTGGCTGTCTTCCCTCTGTGTCTGTCTGCCCCTGTATCTCCCCTCCTCTTTTTATAAGGTCACTAGTCGTGGAGGATTAGGACCCACCCTGCTCCAGGATGATGGCATGTCAACTGATAATATCTGCAAAGACCCTATTTCCAAACAAGGTCCCATTCATGGGTACCAGAGGTTAGGACTTCAACGTATCTTTTTGGGGAAAACAGTTCAACCCATAACAAACAGTAAAACAAGAATGATTAAAAACATCTTACAAAGAGGAGAAATAAGATGGAGAAAGGACAAGTGTTTCCAGGGAAATCAGCAAATGCCAGGTTCCTCTCTGAGGAATCATGCAATGTAAGTGGGACACATCTCTTTTCTCGACTTGAACGAGCTATTGGAAGTTTTCACCCCTTTGGCAGTACTCCCCCATGCCCTCCGTGCAGTGACTCAGGACACGGGAAGTCCAGGACACCTGGAGTAGTTGTTAGTTGCCATCAGGTTGGCTCTGACTCATGGTGGCCTTATGTATAACAGAATAAAATGTTGCCTGGTCCTACCCTATCTTTCTGATCATTGGTATGTTTGAGTCCATTGTTTTGGCTATCGTGTTAATCCATCTCATTAAGGGTTTCCCTCGTTTTTGCTCACCCTGTGCTTTACCAAACATGATATCCTGTTCTATCGATTGGTCTTCCTTGATGACGTGTCCTCAGTAAGCAAGCTGAAGTTTTGCCATCCCCCCTTCTAAGGAGCATTCTGTTTGTATTTTTCTAAGACCGGTTTGTTCTTTTTTTTGACATTCCACGATATATTCAGTATTCTTTGCCAACACCCATGGTTCGAATACTTCAATTCTTCTTCTATCTTCCTTTCTCATTGTCCTGCTTTTGCATGCATATGAGGAAATTGCAAAGACCATGGCTTGGGTCAGTAATTAAGTGACATCTTTGCTTTTTAGAACTTTAAAGAGGTCTTTTGCAGCAGAAATGCCCAATGCTACACGTCATTTGATGTATTGACTGCTTCCTCTATGGACATTGATTATTGATCCAGGTAGAATGTAATCATTGACAACTTCAGTTCGGAGCAGTGCTGGTGGTGGAAGCAAAACCCACACCTGACCAGGCTGAGCGTATGGAGCCCTGAGTTGCCGCCCATTCAATAAACCACTCAAGGACATGAGCACCAGGACATGAGCAGGGCTGTGAGTTGGAGTATGATGCAGTCAGATTGGCATTTTTTATTAATATTTTATTTTTGACGAAAATATATAGAACAAAACCCTCTCCTATTCAACAGTTTCTAGACATAATGATCAGAGACATTGGTTATATTCTTCACATTGTGTCAACATTCTCACTATTTCTGTTCTGGTTCTTTTACTCCCATTGACTAAAACTCCCTGTCCCCCAACTTTCTTGTCTATGCTTTAGGATAGCTGTTGTTCATTTGGTCTTAAGTAATTTTTTTTTTTAAAGAATGCAATACTTAAGGGTGACAATCTTTACTTCTTGAGCTAAACTGTTACTTAGTTTAAAAGTGACTTCAGGAGATAGTTTTGATTCAGGGTTCAAAGAGTAACTCAGGGCCATAGTCTTAGGGACTCCTCCAGCCTAAGTAGCTCAAGTAAGTCTGGAGTCTAACAATTTGAGATTCTGTTTTACATTTTTCTTTGTTTCTATCAGGATCCATCTGTTGCGTCCCTGATCAGAACATTTGGTAGTGGTTGCCAGACACCATCTAGTTCTTTTGGTCTCAAGGTGGAGGAAGCAGTGGTTCATGGATACAGTTGGTCCTGAAGTCTGGTTCCTTCTCTGATTCTTGGGTTTCCTTCTTTCTCTTTTGCTCCAGACGAATAGAGACCAACAGTTGTGTCTTCAATGGCCACTCGTAAGCTTTCAAGACCCCAGACACTGCTTTACCATACTGGGAGGTAGAACACAAACTTTCAGAACTATATTATGCCAGTTGACTGGGTTGTCCCATGAGACCATGGTCCTAAACCTTCAAACCAAAAGAACTGATCCCGTGAGGTGATTGGTTATTGTCAGACTGGCATTTTGAACCACTCACTTTGGCCATTTTTTGGGGGGTGGAGGTGCCAGAGAGGGCTACCCAGAGGCCACAGAAGGCAGTCAAAGATGTTCAAGGAGACCAGAGCAGTGTGCTTTGATGGGGAGAAGGGCTTGGGAGACTGACTGAAGAAAGGGGAGGAGGTAAGGATTTTGTCATTCCCAGGGGATGAGGTTGTTGCTGTTGTTAGGTGCCGTCAAGTTGATTCCGACTCACAGCTACCCCTTCTGACAGAGTAGAACTGCCCCATAGAATTTTCCTGGCTGTAATCTTTATGGAAGCAGATCTCCAGGTCTTTCTCCCCTGGAGCCACTGGCTGGGTTCTAACCGCCAACCTTTGAGTTAGCAGCCAAGCACTTAACTGTAATCATGTGAAAAGGTGTAGAATGACCAGCTCGATTCTGTGTAACAGAAGAAAGATCTAGGTCCCCTGAATGACTATGAGGAGGTTGTCAACAAACTCCAGGAATACCTGCCCAAGGAAGGGAACATTCAGCTGAGATCTGTAGGATAAGTGGGCATTAACAAGACAGAGAAGGTAAAGGCAAGCCTGGGAGAGGAATAGCATGTACAAATGCCCTATGGCAGTAGGGAGAAAAGCAAGTAGCAAGGACTGGAGGAAGACCCTGAAGTGAAGAGAGTGAGGAAGATCACGGGGCAGGATGATGCGGGGAGTCAATAGGTGCCAGAGCACATAGATCCTGTTAAGAGAAACCATTGGTGTTTCCAGAAAAGAGGTGTCGGGCTCAGACTTGCATTTCAACAAGATGACCTGGCTAGCCACAGGTTGGGAAATAGATTGGAGGGGAGTGAGAAATGATGTGCAGGTGGGCTCGGTGGCCAGTGCAGTACTCTAGGGAGCCTGGGCTGGGTGGGGCCATGGGCATGGAGGGACATGGCGGGAGAGGGAAGGAGGGCTTGAGGGATGCAGTGGGAGCCAGGAGGTGCACGGATGCTGCTTTGTTTCCTGGTTTGCCTAAATGCAGGGGAGGGGTCCCAATCACCGGGACAGACAACGATGGAAGATCAGGTTTGGGTGGGTGAGAAACGTGGGCTTGGTGCTGTGTGTAACTGAAGTGTCCTGGAGTCATCAGTTATTACAATACATGCAAGAAGGCTGAATCCCCCAGTGAAAAGATAAGACTCCCAGACTGGGTTAAAAAAAATAAAAGAAACACATCTAAAATTAACAGACAAAAGTGGAAAATAAAGGGATGGATAAAGATATAGGAGCCCTGGTGGCAAAGTGGTTAAGAGCTCAGCTGCTAACCAAAAGATTGGCAGTTCGAATCCACCAGCCACTCTTTGAAAACCCTATGGGGCAGTTCTACTCTGTCCTATAGGGTTGCTATGAGTCAGAATTGACTCGATGGCAATGGATTTGTTTTTTTTATTTTAAAGATATATGAGAAAATCTAATCAAACAATTGAACAAAAACCAAAAGAACAGGAGTGACAATATTATTACGAGATAAAATATATTTTCAAAGCCAAGTACGTTTAGCTTATATATGTGTACAAATACAAATCTTTATTCGCCAATCATCATGGCAAATACTCAAGGCAAAAACTCCTAGAAACATAAAGAGATCCTGATTAAAATACCATCATTGTGGAAGATTTTAATATGCTACTTTTAAAATCTGACAGATTAAGTAGGCAAAAAACAAATAAGACCACCAAGCAGGGGTCCTCAATGGAGGCAATTTTGCACCCCCACCCCAGAAGACATTTGGCAATCTTGTTTTATGCCTGGTTACTAACCAAAAGGTGGGCGGTTCAAATCCACCCAGCAGTACCACACAATGAAAACTTGGTGATCTACTTCCATAAGATTGCAGTCACTGAAAACCCTGTGGAGTGCAGTTCTACCTTGACACACATGGGGTTGTCATGAGAAGAGTAGATGCCACAGCAATGGGTTTGGCTTTTTGGGGACAATTTTTATTGTCATGACTGAGGCAGGGGATTGCTACTGGCGTCTAATGGGTAGAGCTCAAGGATTCTGCTCAACACCTGTCCAGCATGAACTTGCAACGTAAACTTGCTTCCAAAAATAGAGGACGCTGAGAGACCGAAGAAAGAGACAGGCAACTCTGGGGTGGCAGCAGAGGAGTTTAGTAGAGAGATTTACATATGAGATGAGTCTTGGGTGGCCACTGGACCAAGCAGATCTCCACACTCCTCAGTGGGAGGGCAGAGGTTTTATAGTGGTGGTGGATAATAGTGGCTACATGCTAGGGACTTACATAAGGATGATTTAGCAAACTGTAGTGAACTAGAAGACCACATGAGGGTGTTCATGTTTGGCCTCACAAAACCTGTTTTCCCTTCAGTCCACCCCTTGAGGACAGCTCTTACAATCTGGCACGTTCCCTGTCTTGTGCTGTAGCACAAGAGACCCTATCCCCTCCCGCCCAGGAACAAATGTAGAAGTGGGGTTGGCCAGGTGCTGTATGGTGCCTGCATATGTGAAAGAGACAGAAAAAGTTACTTTGTGCCCAGAACAGTAGGAAGGCTTCTCTGATAAGGAGAAGGAACCAGGAGAGAGAAGGCAACCCAATTCCTATCCTCCTTATCAGAGAATGCTCTGAGCCCAAGGCCTTTACTTAGGCAGCCTGGATGGGGGCATAGAGGCAGACCATTTCCCCAACAACACCCTATAATGCACAGGGCAGCTTCCCCATAACCAAGAATGATCTGATCCCAAATGTCAATAGTGCTGAGGTTGAGAAACCCTGCTATAGAGGATTTATGTAATTCACACAACAAGCGTGTTTTGATTCTTTATATAAAACTCTGTATGCTATGAATACAGAAGATATGTTCCTCTCTTATGCTTATAGAGAATTTATTTAAAAAATTCAATTAGTCATTACTTGGTTATAAATAATCAGTTCTTTCAATAGAGATTTTCAGACCACATTCTCAGACTCTAATCTAATAAAACTCAAAATCGACAACCAAAATAAAACAAAAGCAACACCAATAACAAAAATCTCCTTTACTTGGCAATTAAGACACATATACTGGAAGAATCCCTGAGACGGTGGCCCTAAGACACCCTTCTGACCTGAAACTGAAGCCATTCCTGGAGATCACCTTCTAGCTAAACAATAGACAGGCCCATAAAATAAACAATAACACCCGAGAGGAACGTGTTCCATAGAACAATCAATTATAATAGATCAAAAGGACAACATTTGTCCAAAAGCAAAGATAAGAAGACAGGAATGGGTAGAAAAACAGGACGAAAGGAAACGGGGAACCCAAGGTGGAAATGGGGAGAGTGGTGGGGAATGCATTGTGGGGAATGCAGCCAATGTCATGGAACACTTTATGTACAAACTATCGAATGGGAAACTAATTTTCTCTGTAAACTTTCACCTAAAGCACAATGAGAGTTTTTTTAAAAAAAAGAAAAATATAAATAAGAAACTTACAAATAATAAATTCAAAAACCTATAAATAACTCCTGAATCAAAGATGAAATAATAGCTAAAATATACTCAGAGGAAAATTTATACCCCAAGCACTTTCATTATTAGAAAAAGAAAATGGGCTAAAGACGAATGAACTAAAAAAAAAAAAAAAAGATAAATTGACAAAAAAATTAACTTAGGAAACTAGAAGAATACCCAAAAGAAACAATGAGAGGTTAATTAATAATGATACAATCTGAAATTTATGAAACAGAAGGCAAAAATGCAATGTAAAGTAAAACCGAAACAAAAAGCTAGCTCTTCAGCAGACCGGTGTAATAGCTGCTGCTGTTGGGTGCCATCATAGCAACTCCATGTGACAGTAAAACTGCCCTATAGGGTTTTTCTAGGCTGTAATCTGTATAAGAAAACCCTGGCGGTGTAGTGGTTAAGAGCTACAGCTGCTAGCGAAAAGGTCGGTGGTTTGAATCCACCAGGTACTCGTTGGAAACTATTTGGGGCTGTTCTACTCTGTCCTATAGAGTCAGAATCGACTCCACGACAATGGATTTGATTTAGTTAATCTGTACGGGTAGCAGATTACCAGGTCTTTCTCTTGCAGAGGGCTGGGTGGGTTCAAACTGCCAGCCTTTTGATTCGCAACCAAGCACTTAACTGTTGTGCCACCAAGACTCCCTGTATAACAGCTGAAACCCAACAATTCTGATTAAGGGCAAAAGAAAGACAATGAAAGTGAACATTTGGAATGGAAAGTGAAGATAAAAGTTTGGATATAGAAACTATTGAAAGAATCATAAGAAGTCATTATATGCAGCTCAGTGATAATAAAATTGAGATGTCAGATGTTCTTTGAAATAAACAATATACAAATTAACGAAAATGACTCAAGAAAAGGTAGGCACTCAAAGGAGGGCAGACCACCATGCTTGTCTTTTCTCTTTAGCACCCCCCAGAGGCCCTCAGTCAATATTTTGAAATGAGTGAGTGAGTGAATGAATGAATGGACAATACTTTTGACTATGACTCTCGTCTCGGGTAACACATACTCCTGTTGTCTTTGCAGCATAAAGCGACCCACAATGTCTACCGTCACTCTAGACATAGCCAACAAAGAAATCTCCTGCATCGACCTCAAGCCACTGGTATGTCTCAAACCTTTACTGGCCCATAGTCTGTGTTATTAGTGTTAGGAGTAATGGCGGCAGGCTTACGTCAGCTTTTCCTTGAGGGGCTGTGCAAGCCCTTGTTCAGGATCTGGAAATGGAGGTGACTCTGTGCTGGTTGTTGGAGTCACTGCCACCCCCATCAGTGTCCCCAGACTGCCCCTTCCCTTTTCCCCTTCCTGACTCACTGTCCTCAGAGCAGGTGTATCAGTGCATGTTCCTTGCCGGTCATCTGCAGAACTTCCCCTGGTTGACTCAGGTAACAGCACTTATAAGCATACCCAAGAGAATTGAAAACACCCATCAACATACGTCCACATAAAACTTGCTTACAAGCGTTCATAATAGCATTGTTCACAACAGCCAAAAAGCAGAAACAACCTAAATCCCCATCAGTGGATGAATGGATAAACAAATGTGGTGCACCCATATAATGGAATATTATGCAGTCATAAAAAGGAATGAAGTTCTGATACATGTTACAACATGGATGAACCTTGAAAAGATTGTTACTCAGTGGGAAAAAAAAAGCCAGACACAAAAGGACAAATATCATACCATTCCATTTATATGAAATGTTCATAGGCAAATTCATAGAGACAGAAAGTAGATTAGTAGTTGCCTAAGGGCTGGGGACCCCACATGTCTGTCAGTTTGTCATACTGTGAGGGCTTGTGTGTTGCTGTGAGGTGGGAAGCTATGCCACTGGTATTCAAATACCAGCAGGGTCACCCATGGTGGACGGGTTTCAGCTGAGCTTTCAGACTAAGACAGACTGGGAAGAAGGGCCCAGTAGTCTACTTCTGAAAAAAAAATTAGCCAGTGAAAACCTTATGAATAGCAACAGAACATTGTCTGATATAGTGCTGGAAGGTGAGCCCCTCAGATTGGAAGGCACTCAAAACATAACTGGGGAAGAGAGCTGCCTCCTCAAAGTAGAGTCGACCTTAATGATGCGGATGGAATCAAGCTTTTGGAACCTTCATTTGCTGATATGGCACAATTCAAATTGAGAAAAAAACAGTTGCAAACATCCATTAATAATAGGAACATGGAATATATGTAGTATGAATCTAAGAAAATTGGAAATCGTCAAAAATGAAATGGAATGGATAAACATCGATATCCTAGGCATTAGGAGCTGAAATGGACTGGTACTAGACTTTTTGAATCGGACAAACATATATTCTACTATGCCAGGAATGACAAATTGAAGAGGAATGGTGTTGTGTTCATCATCAAAAAGAACATTTCAAGATCTGTCCTGAAGTACAACGCTGTCAGTGGTAGGATAATATCCATATGCCTACAAGAAAGACCAGTTAATATGACTATTATTCAAATTTACACTCCAACCACTAAGGCCAGAGATGAAGAAATTGAAGATGTTTACCAAATTCTGCAGTCTGAAATTGATCAAACATGTAATTAAGGTGCATTGATAATACTTGCGATTGGAATGTGAAAGTTGGAAGCAAAGAAGAAGGATTTGTAGTTGGAAAATATGGCCTTGGTAATAGAAACAATGACAGAGATCGCATGATAGAATTTTTCAAGACCAACGACTTCTTCATTGCAAATACCTTTTTTCAACAACATAAGTGGCAACTATACGTGTGGACCTCAACAGACGGAATACACAGAAATCAAATCAAGTGTGTCTGTGGAAAGAGATGACGGAAAAGCTCACTATTATCAGTCAGAACAAGGCCGGGGCCGACTGCAGAACAGATCATCAATTGCTCATATGCAAGTTCAAGCAAGTTGAAGCTGAAGAAAATTAGAACAAGTCCACGAGAGCTAAAGTACGATCTTGAGTATACTCCATCTGAATTTAGAGACCATCTCAAGAACAGATTTGACACATTGA